GAATTCCCCTGGGAAGCCTTCTGGCCCTGGGCTTTTGTTTGTTTGGAGATTTTTGATGACTGTTTCAATCTCCTTACTGGTTATGGGTCTGTTCAGGCTTTCGATTTCTTCCTGGTTCAGTTGTGGTAGTTTATATGTCTCTAGGAATGCATCCATTTCTTCCAGATTGTCAAATTTGTTGGCGTAGAGTTGCTCATAGTATGTTCTTATAATTGTCTGTATTTCTTTGGTGTTAGTTGTGATCTCTCCTCTTTCATTCATGATTTTATTTATTTGGGTCCTTTTTCTTTTCTTTTTGATAAGTCTGGCCAGGGGTTTATCAATCTTACTAATTCTTTCAAAGAACCAGCTCCTCGTTTCGTTGATTTGTTCTATTGTTTTTTGGTTTCTATTTCATTGATTTCTTGTCTGATCTTTATGATTTCTCTTCTCCTGCTGGGTTTAGGCTTTCTTTCTTGTTCTTTCTCCAGCTCCTTTAGGTGTAGGGTTAGGTTGTGTACCTGAGACTTTTCTTGTTTCTTGAGAAAGGCTTGTACCGCTATATATTTTCCTCTCAGGACTGCCTTTGTTTTGTCCCACAGATTTTGAACTGTTGTGTTTTCATTATCATTTGTTTCCATGAATTTTTTCAATTCTTCTTTAATTTCCTGGTTGACCCATTCATTCTTTAGAAGGATGCTGTTTAGTCTCCATGTATTTGGGTTCTTTCCAAATTTCCTCTTGTGATTATGTTCTAGCTTCAGAGCATTGTGGTCTGAAAATATGTCACTTCTATTTTCAATGATCCCAATCTTTTGATACTGGTTGAGACCTGATTTAGGACCAAGGATGTGATCTATTCTAGAGAATGTTCCATGTGCACTAGAGAAGAATGTGTATTCTGTTGCTTTGGGATGAAATGTTCTGAATATATCTGTGATGTCCATCTGGTCCAGTGTGTCATTCAAGGCCTTTATTTCCTTGTTGATCTTTTGCTTGGATGATCTGTCCATTTCAGTGAGGGGAGTGTTAAAGTCCCCTACTATTATTGTATTATTGTCGATGTGTTTCTTCGATTTTGTTATTAATTGGTTTATATAGTTGGCTGCTCCCACGTTAGGGGCATAGATATTTAAAATTGTTAGATCTTCTTGTTGGACAGATCCTTTGAGTATGATATAGTGTCCTTCCTCGTCTCTTATTATAGTCTTTGGCGTAAAATCTAATTGATCTGATATAAGGATTGCCACTCTTGCTTTCTTCTGATGTCCATTAGCATGGTAAATTCTTTTCCACCCCCTCACTTTAAATCTGGAGGTGTCTTCGGGTTTAAAATGAGTTTCTTGTAGGCAACATATAGATGGGTTTTATTTTTTTATCCATTCTGATACCCTGTGTCTTTTGATTGGGGCATTTAGCCCATTAACATTCACGGTAACTATTGAAAGATATGAATTTAGTGCCATTGTATTGCTTGTAAGGTGACTGTTATTGTATATTGTCTCTGTTCCTTTCTGATCTACTACTTTTAGGCTCTCTCTTTGCTTAGAGGACCCCTTTCAATATTTCCTGTAGAGCTGGTTTGGTGTTTGCAAATTCTTTCAGTTTTTGTTTGTCCTGGAAGCTTTTAATCTCTCCTTCTATTTTCAATGATAGCCTAGCTGGATACAGTATTCTTGGCTGCATGTTTTTCTCGTTTAGTGCTCTGAATATATCATGCCAGCTCTTTCTGGCCTGCCAGGTCTCTGTGGATAAGTCCGCTGCCAATCTAATATTTTTACCATTGTATGTTACAGACTTCTTTTCCCGGGCTGTTTTCAGGATTTTCTTTTTGTCACTACGACTTGTAAATTTTACTATTAGGTGACGGGGTGTGGACCTATTCTTATTGATTTTGAGCGGGGTTCTCTGCACCTCCTGGATTTTGATGCTTGTTCCCTTTGCCATATTGGGGAAATTCTCTCCATTAATTCTCTCCAATATACCTTCTGCTCCCCTCTCTCTTTCTTCTTCTTTTGGAATCCCAATTATTCTAATGTTGTTTCATCTTATGGTGTCACTTATCTCTCGAATTCTCCCCTCGTGGTCCAGTAGCTGTTTGCCCCTCTTTTGCTCAGCTTCTTTATTCTCTGTCATTTGGTCTTCTATATTGCTAATTCTTTCTTCTGCCTCATTTATCCTAGCAGTGAGAGCCTCCATTTTTGATTGCAGTTCATTAATAGCTTTTTTGATTTCAACTTGGTTAGATTTTAGTTCTTTTATTTCTCCAGATAGGGCTTTTATATCTCCCGAGAGGGTTTCTCTAATATCTTCCATGCCTTTTTCAAGCCCGGCTAGAACCTTGAGAATCGTCATTCTGAACTCTAGATCTGACATATTACCAATGTCTGTATTGATTAGGTCCCTAGCCTTCGGTACTGCCTCTTGTTCTTCTTTTTGTGGTGAATTTTTCCACCTTGTCATTTTGTCCAGATAAGAGTTTATGAAGGAGCAAGTAAAATACTAAAAGGGTGGCAAAGACCCCAGGAAAATATGCTTTAACCAAATCAGAAGAGATCCCAAATCGTGAGGGGGGAGAAAGGGGATAAAAAGAGGTTCAGAAAGAAAATAATAAAAAAAAGAAATAATTAAAAAAAGCAAACGAATAAAGAAAAAATATAAAAAAAACAAAAAATATATCTATATATTAGATAAACTAGTTAAAAAACGTTAAAAAAGAAAAGGGTAAAAGTTTAAAAAAATTTGGCAGAAGAAGAGTAAAAAAAATTGAAAAAGAAAAAAAATTAAATTAACTGCAAGGCTAAAGAATCTTGGGGAGAAAGCCATGAGTTCCGTGCTTTGCTTTCTCCTCCTCTGGAATTCCGCTGCTCTCCTTGGTATTGAAACTGCACTCCTTGGTAGGTGAACTTGGTCCTGGCTGGCTTTCTTGAGATCTTCTGGGGGAGGGGCCTGTTGTAGTGATTCTCAAGTGTCTTTGCCCCGGGCGGAGTTGCACCGCCCTTACCAGGGGCCGGGCTGAGTAATCCGCTCGGGTTTGCTTTCAGGAGGTTTTGTTCCCTGAGCGCTTTCCGTAGAGTTCCGGAGGACGGGAATGAAGATGGCGGCCTCCCAGTCTCCGGCCCGGGGGAGCCGAGAGCCCGGGGCCCCACTCCTCAGTGCGCTCTCAGAGAACAGCGCCCAATTATTCCCGTCACCCTGCCTCCGGCCGTGCTCCGAGCTGACCGAGCCTGCGACCGGTTCAAGGTAACCCCGAGCTGAGAACTCACTCCTCAGCTCTGTCTCTGTAGCCGGCTTCCCCGTTCTAATACCTGCAAGCTCTGTGACACTCAGACACCCCCGGTCCTTCTGTGACCCTGCGGGACCTGAGGCCATGCTGACCCCATGTGGGCTTCACCCCGGTTAAGCCTCTGGAGCGATGTCCCTCAGTGGAACAGAGTTTTAAAAGTCCTGATTTTGTGCTCCGTTGCTCCGCCTCTTGCCGGGAGCCGGCCCCTCCCCGCGCGGTCTATCTTCCCGTCGCTTTGGATTCACTTTCCCGCAAGTCCTACCTTTCAGAAAGTGGTTGATTTTCTGTTTCTAGAATTGCTGTTCTTGTTCTCTTGATCTCCCATTGGATTTGTAGGTGTTTGCAATCTTTAGATAAGCTATCTAGCTGATCTCCTGCTACTGAAGTAGTCTCAGCCTGCTACTTCTCTGCCATCTTGACTCCTCCTAAATTTACTATCTTTAGGGTAAATTCTCTGAATTTTGACAAACATCACCATGATCACAATCAAGATACACAACAGTTTCACCACCAGGCAAAATTTCTATGTGCCTCTGAAGCCCAACCCTCCTCCGCTGCTACCAGACGACCACTCATCTGCTTTCCACCCCTGCCGTTCAGTGTCGGCCTGGCCAGATCCATATAAATAAAATCGAAGAGGACATGGACTTTCTGGTCTAAGATCTTTTACTCGGCACAGTGCATCCGAGACTCATCCATGTGCTTGTGTGGATCAGGAGTTCATTCTTTTTTATGACTGAGTTGTATGCCATCGCACAGCTATCCCACAGGTTAGTTATCTCTTCACCAGTGGAGGGACATGTGAGCTGCATGCTGTCTTTGGTGATTATAAATACTAAACAATCACGTGCAATTTTTTTTCCTGTGAACGTAAGTTTTTATGTTACTTGGTAACTACTCCCTGGTTAACCAACTCTTAGAGCACAGACTACCCGCCTCGGTCAGTTTCAATCTCCACTCGTTGGCGTGATTACTTAATTACCGTTACACCTGTGAAGCTGTGAATTCCGAGAGTAAGGACCATATCTGACTGGAATCTGCCTCATGTGTGCCTGGCACACAGCAGGCACTTGCTACATAGTTACTGAATGGATGAGTTACCTCCTCCTGGGGCACGATGAGGAATGTAAAGTACTTCTTTTCTCACTTTTTCTTAAATCAGGGGAAGGAAAACGGATAGTATGTTTAAACACAGCCAGCTCTACAGAGACTTCCTTTTTTGTGTGGGGGAAAAAATATCAGATTTTATTTGTTTTGTAGATTTTAAAATCGGTATCATGTTATAGAAAATTTTGAGAAGGAAGAATAACATGGTCCTTCTCACTATTACAACACCTGTTTTTATTTTTGTGAAACTTCTGCAGTCTTTTCCTCGGAATATTTGCTTTCCAACCAGCTCAGGCTGGAAATAAAACAAACAACTAAATACATCAATCCACACTTTTCTCCAGCCTGACCCACAGCAGCAGACCCATGGAGGCAACGGTTCTCTTTCCCTTTTTCATTCCACCTGGGAAAAGCCATTTTACAAAGGAGTTGCCAGAATACCGGAGGCTGGGGTGTGGGGTGAAGAGGCCGGCCACGCAGGAAGTGGCTCCCCTCCCCGGCCTCCCACAGTGAGGACGCGGGCCTCCAGCTGCTAACACATGAGGCCCATCTGGAAAAGAGATGAAGACTGTCCCTCCTTCAGACTGCACGGCTTAATGGCTCGGAGGACCACCCTGAGGTTTCTTACCCGGAGGAAAGAAGGAAAGCCCTGTCCGTAGTATCCAACAGCAAAGTATTCAGGCTGAGGCCTCATTGCTTTAATGATGTTCTCATAAAACGAGGCTCTTTTTTTCTGGAAAACAAAACAAGACATTCCACAGGGAAGTTACAAGGGCACCACTGAGGGGTGGGGAAGATCAGACTATTTGCTTTGTTGTTTCCCATGAGCCAACAGGCAAATGAACAGTCTTTGGAAAATATCCTTGTGGGCCAAGAAGCTATCCCTTTCTTGGATGGAAGGGTTTGGACCTGGGTCTGTGAATGAGCCTTGGATGGTCTGGCAATCTCCAGAGTTGCCTGCGGGAAGACACAAGCGGTGTGCGTTCCTCTGTAAAGGGAGGCAGTGTTTAGCTCTCACCAGTTTTCTGAAGAGGGTTCAGGACCCCTAAAAGGTTAAAAAGCCCCTTTTGAGATTCGCGGATGGTGGCTGCACTTAAACAGAGATACAGGAGAAAAGAAGATAAAGAACTTTCGGGTTCACACAGGTGGTTTCGATTAAAGTCCTAAGTTCAGCTACGAGTGCCCAGAAGGTGGTGGTGATGTTCTGTTTTTCAGTGTCTGGTCTCAGCGCTATCATTAATCCTTCCCTTGGGAACAGGTTTTCTGGCCAGAGCTGAGAGTAAGCCTTAAAGAGAGCAAAATAGGTAGCCAGACCCTTCGGGGCACGTCCCTAGGCCCCTCTCACAATGGTCCCGTGACCATTTACTTACTTTAGTATTTACTTACTCTATTTAGGTGAAGGTTTCTAGCACGTTTTCTTAGCAGGGTTAACATGGCGTATCACTAATTGCTCCATTTAGTTAAGGAAATTAAGAAGCGATTTTCTGTGTGTGATGATAGCAGGAGCTGGTACAACATACCGGCAAGCTGTTTTCAAAGTGATCTGACGACTATCCCCTCAAAGAAGCTACACTTGACCTTGAACAACATGTATTTAAAATGGATGAATCTACTTACATGCAGATATTTTTGGTAAATACAGTATAGTATGGGAATTCTCTTCCTTTCAATTTCTTAACATTTTTCTCCAGCTTACTTTATTGTAAGAACAGTATATAATACATATACAAAATATGTGTTGATCAACTGTTTATGTTATCAGTAAGGCTTCTAGTCAGCAATAGTCAACAATAGGCTATTAGTAGTTAAGTTCTGGGGGAGTCAAAAGTTACATGCAGATTTTCAACTGTGTCGGGGGTTGGCTCCCCTAAACTCCCCTCCTTCAATTGTGCAAAGATCAACTGTATTATTACATAACAACAGGTGACTTGACCTTTTGTGATTCCACTACTAAAAATTATCAAATGTAATGTGTGTTGGCCTACCACTGGACATTCAGAGTGTTATTTTTGTTTTGCTGTTTTGTTTTTAAATAGTTGGGTCTGTGCCGGTGGCCAGGCACGGCACAGAAGTTCATGGAACTATAATGTGTGTAAGCACCGCAGTGACATTTTGGGAGAAGGAGGGAGGCAAAATTTGAGACCCAAGATCCAGCAGAAGCATTTAACAACATACCAAGATGTGCCTAACAAAACACACACATGCACACACACACAAAAAACAAAAAGAAGGCTCATAGATTGGCAGGATGGGCACTACAGAACGAGTGATTCTGACAGAAGATATCAGAAGATATCTGAACTATGGACAGTGTTCACAGAAGGCAGAGTAACCAAGAGGGTGAAGAGGAGATGGGTCAGGAATATGGAGGGTCCCTACTCTAGGGAAACAATATGCACAGGGAAGAGAGAGAGGTCTGGAGGCAAGGATCCTGGGCCCTTTATCAGAAATAATTCAGAGGAATAATGATAACACCTTTAGGGCCTCACCTTTTTTTCATTTTTCTTTCAAGCAAGGTTTGCTTTCCCACTGTAAAGAACACGGTTTAGCTTGACTATCTCAAAAGTAGACATTTTCACGAACACAAATTTGGCATCCCTGTCGGACCCTTGCCCTGTGCTGACCCGGACTCACCAGCAGGTTGCCAAGGCCCTCGTAGTCAAATACTTTGCTCTCATAGGTCTCGGCAAGCTCTTTGCTCAGTTTGATGGCCTTCTCCCACATCTTGGAAAAAACAAAAGTAGGGTTACAAGCGGAGAACAAAGCAGTCACGGATCTGTCTGCAAAAGCCAGGGGAGAGCGGCCGACGATGGCCAAGGAGCCAGGTGGGTTGAGTTTCTGCAAGTATTCCCGCCACGCCTCACCTCCTGGACCAACTAAACCTTTTCTTCTGGCATGAAAACGCTACTCTATCTTGGCTGCTTTCCCAGGGGGCATGTTCTAGAATTCTGTTTGCAAGAACATGAAGAACACCACGTGTCCCAAAGAAAGCGATACTGTACTGAAAGGGCAAAGCACTAAGACCACTGAGAGCTGAGAGGAACCCGCTCCAAAGCCTGGGTTTTGAGAGCTTGTGAATCTCGCTGGAGGGGAAAGGAAGTTAGTGTGGGCCTTAGTTCTGGTTCTGGAGTGTGTGTGTACGCTTTGAATTAGGTAGTTTGGGAGAAAGACTAACCACGCTGTTGTGTGGAATTTGGGAAACTGTTTCTCCAGTTTTGAGCACTGATTCCCTATCTCTGACCAAACCATCTGCTTAGTCAAAGAGTTTTAAGAAAAATGCCTTTTTGCTAGGACACTTGATGCCCTAAGAAACAATGATGTTTCTTGTATTGATGAACATTGTAAGTTTACTAATGACCATTTAAGACACGGCTTACTGGAGATACATGCATGGTATCTGAGGCTAGCATCCCACACTGAGCCCTCTGTTCCTTTTGATATTTCATAAAATGTCTCTTAGGTGGATGCTCATAATAACACAGCATCTGGTAATTTCCTACTTGATTTTTTTTTTTAAGATTTTATTTATTTATTTGATAGACAGAGATCACAAGTAGGCATAGAGGCAGGCAGAGAGAGAGAGAAGCATGCTCCCTGCCGAGCAGAGAGCCCGATGCGGGGCTCAATCCCAGGACCCTGAGATCATGACCTGAGCCGAAGGCAGAGGCCCAACCCACTGAGCCACCCAGGCGCCCCTCCTACTTGATTTTTATTAACAGGTACTATGCTCCACTGTTTCTAGCTGCTGAAGGAATGTAGGCGCAGTTCACGTACAGTTGTAAAAAAGATTTAAAAATTAAGTCTTTTAAAATCATCATTTGCCAAATTTACCCCCTCTGAAATTTCAGGGCTGGGATCCCTGGAAAAGGCTATGAAATGTGCCATATGGAAACCATTCCAGATCAGCTGGGCCTGGAGCAGGAAGCCCATCAACAGTATCCAAGAAGTCAAGCTCGCTCCTCATTTACCAAATACTAAGTTATGTCAGAAACAGGGAGACAGCCTGGCACAGAGCTTCTCAAAGTGTGTGGTCCCTGGTCTCTGGGAGTCCCCAAGATCCTCTCACAGAGTCCCTATGATCACAATTACCTTCTTAGTAATAATAATATATTTGCCTTTCTCAGTCCTCATTCTCTCATGCAGGGGGGTTTCCCACAACTACCGAATGGGTAGTACCACTGGAGACGGAATGCAGAAAACAGATATGAGGATTCTGCTGTTTCCTACCAAGCCAGATGCTGGAGAGATTGTCAAACATGTCAAACAATGCCACTCATATCACTATTTTTTTGGAAAATATAGTAATTTTCAATAAATATGATTTATATTCATAGTAAAAAGTTCCTTCAGAGAACAAGTAAATAAATATTTTAAGATTTTCTGTTTTAATTTCTAAGGATACTTGTATCAGTAGATACAATCCATGTGGGAAAAAAAGCTCTTTGGGATCCTCAGTGATTTTTGAGCAGGTCAAGGGGCACAGAGACCAAAGACCTTGAGCAAATATACTTGGTCAATGGGCCTCAAGTTTTTCATCTGTAAAAAAGATATAATACCTACCTAACAGGGCTTTAGGGAGAATTAAATTAGAAAAAAAGCCTGGAAATCACTCAAAACAGTAACTAGCACTAAATAGATGCTAGCTACTTTATCATGATGAGTATCTGCCTGATTTTATTTATATATATATTTTAAATATTTTATTTATTTGACAGAGAGAGAGAGACCACAAGTAGGCTAAGAGGCAGGCAGTGAGAGAGGGGGAAGCAGACTCCCTGCTGAGCAGAAAGCTGGATGTGGGGCCCCATCCCAGGACCCTGAGATCATGACCTGAGCTGAAGGCAGAGGTTTAACCCACTGAGCCACCCAGATGCTCCACTGCCTGATTTTTTCTTATATTAATTTTTTTTGTTTCATTTTTTAAAAAAATTCCAGTTAGTTAGCATATAGCGTAGAGTTAGTTTCAGAAGTAGAATTCAGTGATTCGTTACTTACATAAAACACCCGGTGCTCATCAGAACAAGTGCCCTCCATAATGCCCATCACCCTTCTAGCCCATCCCTCCACCCATCACCCCTCCAGTAACCCTCAGTTTGTTCTCTATAGTTAAGAGTCTGTTTCATGATTTGTCTCTTTTTTTCTTCTCCCATGTTCCTCTATTTTGTTTCTTAAATTCCACATATAGTATTTGTCTTTCTCTGACTTATTTCACTTGGCATCATACTCTCTAGCTCCACCCATGTCATTGCAAATGGCAAGATTTCATTCTTTTTGAAGGCTAAGTAGTATTCCATTGTATGTGTGTGTGTGTGTGTGTGTGTGTGTGTGTGTGTGTGTGTATCTTCTTTATCCATTCAGCAGTGGTTGGACATTTGGGCTCTTCCCATAACTTGGCTATTGTTTAAAATGCTGCTGTAAACATTGGGGTGCATGTATCCTTTCAAATCAGTACTTCTGTATTCTTTGGGTAAATACCTAGTAGGAAATTGCTGGGTCATAGTGCAGCTCTATTTTTAACATTTTGAGGAACCTCCATACTGTTCTCCAGAGTGGCTACACCAGTTTGCATTCCCACCAACAGGGCACGAGGGTTCCCCTTTCTCTGCAGCCTCCCCAACATCTGTTGTTTCCTATGTTGTTAATCTTAGCCATTCTGACAGGTGTGAGGTGATACCTCACTGTGGTTTTGATTTGTTTTTCCCTGATGATGAGTGACACTGAGCATCTTTTCATGTGCCTGTTAGCCATCTTCTTTGGAAAAATGTCTATTCATTTCTTCTGCTCATTTCTTAACTAGATTATTTGTTTTTTGGGTGTTGAGCTTTGTAAGTTCTTTACAGATTTTGGATACTAACCCTGCATTAGCTATGTCGTTTGCAAACATCCTTTCCCATTCCAAAGGTTGTTTGGGCTTATTTACTTATTTCACAAACAGGTTCGCTGCTAAATCAGGAATAGTGCCTGGAAATGGCAGTCCATAAGAACTCTCCAGACCTCTGAAACGAGTCAAATCTAGGATGTGTTTTGTTTGGATAGTACATGTTTTTTTTCCTTCCTCCCCTGACGCCTTCCATATTTTTTTCCTATTTTAAAAGCCTTTCAGTTAGCCATGCTGACCAACCAACTAGAGACTCCACAACTTCCTGCCTAGTTCACATGTTTACCTTTTTTCAGAGCCCCTGGGTAATTAATTAGGCCCCTTGTTACCTATGGTGTTAGGCAAGTCGTGGCCTGGGTGTGGGGTGTGCACCAGGCGCTGGCCACAATCTCTAGAGAATGCACTGAAAATCATGGTGCTAGCTCCTGGCACTCAGCAGTATTCAAAAGGTAAAATTATGGTTATGGAGAATCAGGCTCTGGGCTGCCCATTATATCCTCCATTGGGTTAAGTGTCCTGAATAACTGATCTTTATTGACTTTGTTAGCCTAATTTATCTATTCATTTGCTCTCCCACTAAAAATACCAAAATTCAAAGAAACACATAGGAATAATAAAGAGTAAGTCATGAGTCATTGTTTTAAAATAAAGGATTTGTGTGGTCTTTATCCTGAGTCCCTGTGAGGGAGCTTCTAAGTCCCTGGAATTTCTCCAGTGATGGGAGTGTCTTTGTTGTTTCTGGTGGGCCCCTCAGACCACACCTGAATTTATACTAGTGAGAAACTCACGGTGGGCCTCGAGATGGTCTCAGAATGGGGTTGGCCTTGCCAGACTGCAGCCCACGGATCAGAAGATCAGAGCCCTGATCTACATGGAATCAGCCAGACCTCCAGGGAGGAGAGAGCTGCTGGAAACAGAGTTCACTCACATGGCCAAAGGTTCAACCAACGAAGGCTTCAAATGAAACCCCAACAAAAACTACGCACAGAGGCCCAGGTGAAATTCTCATCTGTTTGCTAGGAGGCCAATGTGCCCCGAATCCACTCATGGGAGAGGACACAGGAGCTCTGCATATGCAATGCTCCTTAGACCTTGCCCTATGTTTTTCTTCAATTGGCTGGTCCTGATTTGCGTCCTTTAAGACAAAACTGTAATTGTAAGCACAGCACTTTACCAAGTTTTGTTAGCTGTTCCAACGTATTATCAAATCTGAGGGGTTCACAGGACACCCTCCCCGAATTTACTGTCAGTTGCTGATCCATGTGGGTAACCCAGAAACCCCCGAACTGTGGCTGGTGTCTCAAGTGAGGGCTGTCTGACTGGGGACTACTTCCTGAACCTGAGGGAACTGGGTTAACTGTGGGTAGTTGGCATCAGAACTGCCCTGCAACACTGCAGCCAATTTCTTCCTTTCCCTAATACAAAACAGACAGCCCAATACTCACTTTGCCTTTGTCAAAGTATGATATGATTTCTTGATACAGCTTCTCTTTAAGCTCTTGCTGGGTATAGACATAGTAACTGTCCCTCTGAAGCAAATGGGGTACACAGGGCTTATCCGACCACTGAAAAACAAACAAAAGGAACAAAAGAGATGAACGTAACACGTCGGTTAAGTAAATCAATTAACCAAAGGAGATCCATGTAACAAATATTCAACCGATAAAAGTCACAGACATATTTGTATATATTTTTGATTCAGCCGTATTGTTTAGATTATTTATTAAACACAAAAATTATCCCACCCCCCAAAATAAGACGTATGTCAGTTTCAAAACAAGTAACCCCAAATGAGCCACCACGTGAAGCATTGCTGTGAACAGTAGTGAAGTTGGGCGGAGGGCTGCCCAACACACCTGCTGGGCACTGAAGGTACCACACGGACAACGGGATGAAAGAAAAAAATTACAAGTATGAAAATGGGAAGGAAGGGGTAAAACTATGACCGTGCAAAGACTGTCTTCTTCATAATCCATTTCTTCACATAGCATGCCAACTGAACAACTATCACAGATAATGAGAGAATTAAGTAGTGGCATAAAAATTAACAAATTTAGCAATAATTTAGAGGTGGGTTCCCAGGAATAGATAACCATGTTGAAGAGATAAGACCAGGACTAGAATAAACCCCAAATGAGAAGATATCCAGGTACAACGCGAATGTACTTAAGGCTACTGAACGGTCCACTTAAAAATGGTTCAAACAGTGAATGTTAAGTTCTGTATATTTTACCATAATTGCATTAAAAAAGAAAAGATACCTATGAATCAACATAACAAGGAATATGCAAGACTTCTACACAAGAAAGCTTAATACATCATTGAAGGGCAGGAAAGCAGACTTGAACAAATGGAAGTCCTAACATGTTTTTGGATAAGAAAATGCTACTCCATAAACATGGAAATTCTTCCTATATCAGTGTTTTAATTTCATGATTCCAAAGTCCACATGGAAAAATAAATACAAAGGAATAGGGCAGAAACCTCTGAAAAAAAAGCAGTAATGAAGAGTAACTACCAGGTAGTGAAACGTACCACAAAACAGTGTGGTCCTGGTGCGTGAACATACAGAGTTCACTCAGACCATGCAAAAGTGTATGCAATCTGGTAAGAGACTTGCCTTGTGTACCTGATAAAGATGGAATATTATCCCAATGAGGAAAATATGGACAATACTTAATAAAGAGCACCCCTAAATTCAGTAGCTAGTTGTGGGGGAGAGCTGCATCCATACCTCAAACTTTATGCCAAGGTAGAGTTTAACTCTCTGAGACAAAAGGACCTATAGTCACCGACATACCAGAGTCTCTCTGTGATCAGTCCACAGTCAACAAGCTCTCCTACCATCCCAAATGCAATACGCTTGTTAGTGCCCTAAACCTGAACATGAATTGTGAATGGCTTCCCTGGGAAGTGGTGAGGCAGAAGACTCCTGTTCTTAATGACAAAGCTAAGAACAATGCACATGCCTTATTTTAGTAAAAAAATTAAATTACACCAGAAAATTAATTGCTAGGGGCAAGAATGGCGACAGGGAGATGTAATAGGGGGCTACCGCCATGCTCCAGGGGAGAGATAATGGACCAGGACAACAGCAAGACGATAAAGAAAAGTGGATAGAAAGAAGAGACAATCAGGATCCCTAAACGATGTCTGCACTCCCGTGTTCACTCAGCATTGTTCACAGCAGTCAAGACACGGAAACAGCCTAAGCATCCAACAATGGATAAAGAAGGTGTGGGATATATATGCAACGGAATGCCATTTAGTCATGAGAATGAAGGAAATCCTGCCATTCTGGGCAACGTGGATGGCCTTTGGGGTGTTACAAGTGAAACAAGCCGGAGTGAGAAAGACAAAGATTACCTGGTAGCTCTTACACGTGGGCTCTAGAAAAAGCCAAACACATGAAAACAGAGGACAGTGGTGGTTACCAGGAGCTTGGGGGTGGCAGGGCACTGGGGAGATGTTATTTGAAGGGGGCAAGTACAACCAGAGCATAAATAAATCCCAGACACCTAACACATAGTGATTACAGACAACAATACCGTACCACAAACTTCACATTTTCTGGGAGACTAGATCTTAATTGTTCCCATGCCAAAAAATAAAAAAGGCAAGCATGTGCCTTGCGAGAGGAGTTCACAATCGCTACTGGTCTGTGATTCTAGCTCGGCCTCGATGTGGGAGGGTGAATAAAAGATGACAACAGGTATTTGCCTGAGCACCCGGGTGAAGGTGCTTTCCCTTTATGAAAATGGGAAGAAAGAAGAGGCTAGGAAAGGTTCCGAGAGCACCGTGGGGAATGGCAGCTTCTGTTACTGCCGGGAGAAGTGTGAGCTATTAACCGCTCCAAGACTGTGATATGGAAGGAACAGTTCATACACAAATGCAAAGTTAGTGGACTGATCAGAACTAGAAATCATGACTCAGGATCCATGACACGTAGGTATATGTATATCCCTGGCACACAACTCTGACTCTGTAAGAGAGTATAAGTAGGGGAGTGCTACTATATTCATTTACAGCTCATCTCTTGGCAGTTCTAGGATGATTTTCTACATACATTAATTAAAGTGTATTTTGTTTCTTCAATGAGACTGTCAGTTACTGGAGGCCCTTAAGCTGCGCTCTGCTTCCAAAGGATTTTTAAACAAATGATAACTGACATTTTCCCCACCCCCGCAGAAAATAAGCGGTGCTTGTTTAGAAGGCATACGAGTGCTCTTGGATAGAAGGATCTCCCTTGAATACGGCTCCTTCCCATCCAAAGTCATGAAGCTGCAGGATTTGGTCCCAAAGGGCTTGGACAGGGGACTGCCACGCAGTGGAAAAAGGCACGCCTGACCCACTTACCTGCAGAAGCTCGGCATGGAGGAGGAGGGTGTAGGCGGCTTCTGTGTAGTTTTCAGAGTCTCGGTGCAAATCCCGCAGCTTGTACAAGTACCTGGGCAGAAGGGGAGAAAGGGGGCACTCTGCCGTTCGGGTTCAGCTCATTCCGCAACTGCACCACAGCCTGCTTCCCCGGCTTACCTTCCCTCCTTTTTCACAGACTAAGGACTCCATCACCTCCTGTCTTCCTCTCCCTCTACCCCTCTCTGCTGCTTCTTGTCTGCATGTCTTTCCCACTCCAATGGCTCTATTTTGTACTCTTCCTTTAATGCAGTGGTGCTCAGTTTTGTTTTGTTTTGTTTTTTTTAATGTCATAAACCCCCTTGGGAAACCTCTCCCCGAGAAAATGCATTTGGTTAAAGTCCAAGTTTGTTCCATGCTCAGGGCTTTCAGCATCCCAGGCTGACGGTCCCTGACACAAGGCACCTGTCCATCCATGCTTCTGACCTATGCAGCCTTTCCTGACTGCTCTGGCCAGTCTTCCATCCTTCCCCGGAATGCCAACACCATCCTCCCTACGCGCTCCCTCAGGCTGGACTTATGCATTTGTCTAAAGAGTTTACCTTTTCCGGGGGAAGGGGGCAGCTCTCCTACTTTTTTAGTGTCTCTTAAAGCAGCAAATGGTGTTGGGACTCAGCATTTGTTTACCAAAGAAATAAATAATAAAGCCAGGACATAAATGGCAAAAGCAGAAATCTCCTCCAGCTTACCTTATGTATATGTCCTCTCTCTTCTTCTCTTTATAAAAATTCTACCAAAAAAAGGGGGGGCAGAAATACCAATGTAAGTCAAAGGTTATGGACAAGCTGGCCACAGAAATGGCCAAACCACTACGTTTACAGTGTCACTTTTCCAGAGGCTATTGTTTTCCTTTAACACAGGAAGGAAGTTTCCTTTAACTGCCACAAAAAAAGGTAGTCATCATTTATAAAGTTAAGTTGAAAAATTTTTTAGGACTCATGCCTCTAAAAAACATGAGGGAAACTCTCTAAGTGAACAGATAGCCAACTGGTACTTCAGTCAATGGGTGGTCTTTTTTTTTTTTTTCTCAAGGGGTCAGTGGAGTCAGACTCTTTCTTTCTATTAAGCAGAGGAATGCAAAGCAGCCTAGACGTCTGTGGTCCCGGCTACACATATCTAGGGAAAGGCAAGACCACAGAGCTCTACACCATGAGGACTCCATAGACTCTCTCTCGTGATATAGTGTTTCTGATGCAACATTTTCAACAACAAAGCAACCACATATAAACAAGACAGAGGAAAAGGTGAATGATGGTCTTCGAGCAAGAGTGGAGCCAAGGGCTTGGGTTTCACTTTCCATCCCCATGTCTGTGGGAGCTGACTTCTGAGTCCAAAGCTGAGTCAGCAGTTCCAGCTGAACTCGGCAGGATGCAGACTCCATATAGGTAGCCCCTGGGTAGCTTTGGGCCTGGGAGATCTACTCAGAGCTGAGCTACGCCTGCAGGGGTGGCCCAGTGGTGCCCTCTTGCCAACCCAGGGGCCTGGCACCTACCAGCACGTTCACAGTACAGCTCATGCGGTTCTCCTTGCTCTCGTCATGCATGATAATGGTTCTGTAGTCCAGCAGGTGCTCTAACAGGCTGCTGACCAGGAATGCGAACACTTCTCCAGAGGTGGCGAGGTACTTATGTTTCCGGCAATGTTCTAGGAGCCTGGAAGGGTGGACACAGAAACAGATGCCCCATTTGCATACTGTCTGTCATTCCAGCACCGTTAGTGAGCACTGTCCAAGGTTCCGGCAGCAGGTGGCGCCAAACCAGGAGACACACACCTTCTGTGTGAGGCCGTCCCATCCAGGGCTCCACTTACGCCGTCCCTCCAGGTGACTCAAGTCCTACATTGTCTTCAGGGCTTTGATTCAAGTCTCACTGTCATTTAAAATCCCAGCCCACAATGCCCATCTTTGAACTTCTATCTGTACTTGCTTTTTGTTTTTGTCTTTGTCAGTACCACAGAAACGAGAACATTTGCCCAGAAGGTTTATGTATGCTATCTGATCAGTCTACTGAAACTGAAAGGGACCATCTTTTTATGTCTTCATTCTCCCTAAAGCCTAGCACTTCCCCCTAGCATCCTGCGGGCATTCTGGAAAGGCCTGGATCAGTGCCCAATCTAGAGGACACTAGGAATCTAGTGCACATCCACACACGTGCCTCTTCAGATGAAAGTGTCATTTAGCAACAGCAACAACAAAAATGCAAAGTTGTAAATAAATAAGCTGAGGATAAATTTTTGACCTAAACCTTCTCCTGTTGGATCCAAATAGAGCAAAGCTATTCTACAAGGGCTTCTTGGATTTGATAACTACAAAAAAACTCAGAGAACAAGATAAAAAAAGAGAAAGAAATAGGCTCAAAGAATTAGTCCAGACTTCAGAATTATTCTTGAACACCGGAGATGTGTATAGTCATATTTTTATGAGTTAGCGATTCAGGAAGAATGGAGGGGAAAAAAAAAAAAAAAAGACCTTACAGTGAAAAATCAGCTTGGGACTTATCATTTGTAAATTGTGTGTGTATATATATCTGTACAGGTATGTAATTTCTCCATTTAATTCTTGTATGAGATCCAAATTACAAGAGTGATAATGTGGGGTTTGAAACTCAAACAGGTAAACTTAACGGAAACAGGATAAAAAGATCAACGAACGGGTCTTGTCATCCACTAAAAGCAAACTAAGAAAGAGTACTCATTCTTGAAAATATAGCTGAGTCATCAATTCAGTTCCATTTCTGAGCACCCAGTGTGCTCTGGCTCCTTAAATCTTAAAAAACAAAAAAGAAAACAGAGTTGGGAGTCCCTGTCCCCAAGCACAGTCTAGTGTGCATCACTTCCACGAAAGAGATGGACAACAAAATGACAGAGGCATACGCCCAATCAACAGGTGACCAGCTGGTCGGTATCCCAGAGGCTAGAGAATCCAAGAAATGGGTTGTCACAGGTAGTGAGCACCATGGACAATGGTGGACTGAAGATGGTGGCGGTGACCAGCACAAACCCACAGTAGTGACGCCCCGTCAGCTCGGGCTCAGTAACAGACGCCATGCTAAGGTGTCACCTCATTGAGTCCTCAATCAATACCAAAGCCTATGGGCCATCCGTGTGGATGAAAAAACGAAAGCCATCAGAGAGGTCAGAACACTGGTCCAAGGTCACACTCCTGGGTTATGGCGAAAATGAGATTTGAGGGTTTCTCTAATTCCAACCCGCAAGTGTTTTTAACTGCCTTTTTATGTTGTGATCCCATACATGCAAAGGAGAATTCAGAGGGCAGAAGGGGTGTGAGGGGTATGTATGGGGGGATAGGAAGTGGCGGTGACAGTGGGAGCACAGGAGGGAATGGAAACGTCAGATGCGAGGGAGGGGAGTAGGGCAGTGCAAAGACCAGCCTGGCTGGAGATATAACAGGTGTTCTTAGAGCCTGTCTACTGGACAGAAGGTACTTTTAAAGGTAAAGCAGACTTTGAAATGTTTTTATTTTCCCTTCCTCCTTTAAAAAGGGGCTTTGGAGCCATAATTAGAGGTACTAGCACTTTTGGTGAAGTTCAGCGATTCAAACACTGGGCAAAATGCCATTGCTCGGTACATCTCCCCTTCTCCTCCATCTGCTCTGTTCTCGAGGGGCTGGGCTGGCCAGGAAAACATGGACATTTGACTCACTCAGACAAACAAATGTCAGCAGTGGATGGTGGAAACTCCATTAACCCCGCTGAGGACCATTTGTGGTGGTGACCCCTGTGCTTCTGGGACTTCTCGACTTGTCTGGAAGGGCAGCAGAAGTCTGCTTCTCTCCACCACTAAATGATGTATCAGTTTGAGACTTTGTTTCTGAAATACTCACAGTTTCTCCAGAAGGACCTTGTATTGTTCATCTCCTCTGCCCCCTTCCACCTCTTGGTCCAGCTTTGTGATCAACTCGTTCTCAAACTGAAAGCAGGGTCAGAATGTCACAGGAGAATGCCAGGTATTCTTAGAAGAGGGCACGTAAGCCACCCAGCCAACATTTCTAGATTCGACCCAACCCTTTTATTGAACTGTGAACACTTGCCAACATATTATAGGGAAAGATCATACTTCATGTCTTCCATTAATCATGTGCCAGGGCCCTACTGAAACGCTCTATACTAGACTCATGTTACTTTGTCCTTTGCTTTACATTGTAGGAAATAGAACAGCCTTTCTTCCTTTGAAGGAGACGTCAAAACACAAGACCACTTCCTTTGAGGGAGACCTCAAAATAAGAGACCACCGCATGAGTTTCTCAATCCCCAGCACTATTTTCCCAGCTATATTGCAACAGATAGAACTAAGATGCGTGATGTCAAATTTTAATTACCCAGAGATGCAATGCTATTTGGGGAAACACATGGAGCAAAAAAACCATTTCTAGGCCATGGGATAGAACATCCCATTCTGTCTCTAAGCGTTTTACAAAATGTAAAATGTAAACAGTTTTTAGACCAACTTGGATTTGTATTACTCAGGCTACGGCTCCACTCTAGAGAAAGAAAGTAAGCAAGAGTGGACTATATATCTGCGCATTCGGAAGACTCCAGTTCTACCACTTACCATATGGAAATTGCCGTTCCCGCTGAAGTTGAACTCACACTGCATCATGTCAAAGAAAATGGGGATGGTGGCTTTCCGGAGCTCGACCTCAGGGGTCAGGGTGACCTCAAGAATGGGACCCACCATGGAAGGGATAAATTTGATTTTGTGGGGACCTGAAATGAAAGTAAGCGAGGATATTAAAAAGTGATTTCACTGGAAGTCAAGTGTCACCATGTTCCTCCAAGGGGCCAGAAGAAAAGAAAAAGGTCATGGGGGTAAAATCAACTCAGTTCAGAGGAGTGACTAAATGTTACATTCTGATAACATATGGATGTCACAATGCAAGACCTACAAGTCAACTTTCACTTCTAGACACACAGACAATGAAGTCTCAGGGTTACTGGGAATTAGAATCAGAAGAACCCGCCACAGGGAGCTTATTACACAGGACTTGTGCATGGGCCAGTTCAAGGTCATACACTCACCCAGGTTATACCACATGTCCCGGATTCTGAAGCCGATCTCCTTTCTCATGTCCCCGTACCTAGGAAGATCATCAACAAGAAAAAGATCTGCAGTGGAAATCAGTTCATATATTAAAATGATGAGGTGAGTAGGAATGGCCTGTTGCCCCTCTCGGTCACGTTTATGACAGGTCTGAGGCAAGGTCACTTTACGAGATGCAGTCAACACTGAAAAGAACTCCCAAAGAGAACTGGGCTACATGGAGAGGGGGGCTTTACTAGCAGGAGGGGGCCACATGTGAACACTGAAAAATAACTTAGAAATGAAATTGTCAAACTTATTGAAGGGAGAAGGGGGGGACTATTCTGGCCACAGTTAAGAAAAGAAACAAAACAAAACATACCAAGCGCTAATGAAAAGGCAGATGAATGAGGTATGATGTAGTCAAGTGACTGATGTCGGACAAACATGCTGACTTTACGTATTTTTTATTTGAGTAACCTACCCACACTTCAGTACGTTCTTCAAAGTACTCACACTGAGAAGCTCTAGATACACCTTCTCAGTGGAGGGGGGTGCTGTCCCCCGAGGGGTGAAAGTTGGTCCTTGGGGGCACAGCAGGCTTACTGTTCTTATGTGTGAAGTACAAATCACATATTACTATATGTGACATGCAGCAGATCTGTGGTATTAATATTTTGGGGGAAGTGTGATTAGGAAACCAATTTCTGAAAAGGTTCTTTATAGGAGTCAATATGAAAAAAGAGAGAGAAAGAGAAACGGTCATCTAGACAGTGGTTCAGGGCTGGAGAGTAATCAAAATCACCCGGATATCTCTTAAAGAACATACAGGCCTGGGGCTACTAGAAACAGCGTGGGTCAAAAGTAGATATGGCCAATGTTCCCTGGGAACTTGAATGAGCATCTATGGCCCATCCTACAACCGCATTTCAACATTTTCTGTTCACTGCACCAAACACTATTTTCAAATTCCTCTTTTGTAAATGCCTTCAGAAACCAGTGTAAAATTCTTATTTGAAGACTTCTCATACAAAAATAAAACAAACTTCTCTTATTATTCCTTTTAAACAAAACATCTAATTTTATTATTTATATTAGGTAAGCATATGTACTCAATGTCAGGCATGTAATAATCAATACACGGTAACTACTTCTATTCATTAATACTGTTGTTGATGCAACTTCTACTAAAAATAAATCTTGAAAAAAACTGATTTGTGTTTCTCTAACATTAATAAAAATGCTTTCCCAAGGTGCACCTTTGCCCATATGCATATATATTTTATATGGCCTGTCCATAGTCGAACCTATCAAAACCAGAATCATTAAGCCTAAGTAGCCACTCTGTTCACCAGACTCGGGGTCAACTAACTTTTCATTGTTTAACCAAATTAAATCCATCCTTAAGAGAAGTTATGTCATTTACGATAGTCTAAACAATAAGCTTAAGACGTCCATCTTAAAAATCAGTTTTGTCTCCATACCCACCCCATAGGGAAATTCATAAAACCGGTTTTACTTTTATCTTTGAGATTTAAATCTCAATCTCTAAACCACCAATCTCAGTGTTTTAGGGAGAAACCAGGGGTAAACAAATACCGAATAATTTGCCTAGAATCCCAGACATCCCGGCAAGGGAACAGAGCTCAAATTTCACAGCCTTTAAGTGACACATTTCTCATGTTCTATTTAACTACACAGCCTTGAGTTTCCAGGCTCTCCGTGAACTCTGAAACAGACCGGAAAGGAAAGCGATGAAAAGCTTCCCTAAATCTCTCATCGCTTTTGGTCATACATCCACATCGAATTCCGAGCCAGGAATCTGGAGGGATTTTTAGGGGATGTGTGAGTCCTGGCTCCTCTGCTGACGCGATGGAGAGGTGAAACAGTGTGGTGTGAGAGGGAGAGGTGCTGTGCCTGCAATGTGGGCATGATGCTGGCAGATGGGCCGCTGTTCGGGGAAACGGGAGTACAAGCCAGCCCTGGTGCCTCTCCAAGTACGGATTCCATTTAAAGAAAATTGTGACGGTTGGGGCGCCTGGGTGACACAGTCGGTTAAGAGTCTGCCTTCAGCTCGGGTCATGATCCCAGAGTCCTGGGATCGAGCCCTGCATCAGGCTCCCTGCTTAGCCGGAAGCCTGCTTCTCCTTCTCCCTCTGCCGTTGCTCCCCCTTCTTATGCTCTCTCTCTCTCTCAAATAAATAAAATCATAAAAAAAAAAAAATAGGAATGGAAGAATCACCTTGCCAATCTTAAGCAAGTTTAAGAGGACACTTACTTTTTGACAATTTTGTTGCGCTTGGCTTGAGAGAAGGTTTCAAGCTGAAGGGATTCGTGGGTGAGAAACGCTACTGCCAAGTGGAAGTAATTGTTCCAGAGCTGCTCAAAATTGATCGTGTGGGAGAAAAGGAATGGAAAATAACATTAATATGGGTCAGAGTAAAACAGTGCCACATGGTAGACATTCACTCACAGGGAGTAAGGAAAAAAAACAAAATAAAATCCACCAGGCCCCATTTTCTTTCTCATGTTTCAATTATTCAGCCCTGAAAGTTTTAACACTTACTATTAAGGCTTTCTTTCTTTCTCTTTTTTTTTTTTTTTTAATCCAGACTGCTCTATTTGTCTTTACTCCTGAGGTAAGAACTGCTGCTAACAAGAACACCCATTTATAGTAAGTAGTTTGGCAATACGGATCAAAAGCCCCCAAATTCTGCCAAGCTGCTGAAATGGTAAATACTTTAGGACTTTATCCTGGCAAAATAATCATGGGTATTTAAAACTATTTAAAGCAAGGAGGGCCTTCACGGTGTTATTTAAATGACAGAAGATGGAAACCATCTAAACGTTCCTAAGAAGAACTCGGTTAAATAAATCATGACTGTACTCAGCCACTAAAAGTCCTGTGAAAACATTTAGTGTCATTGAAAAGATGATCGAAAAAATCGTATTAATGTTGCCAAAGAACTGCACAGCTTGACTGCGTCTTGGCGTATATACGTAAGGTCTAACCAGCAAATACAGACACTCCATTTTAGCTCATATAGACACACACGTATGTCTATATAAATGCAGATCTAATCTCCTCTTCTGACGACTCTCTCCAGTTCACAGATACAAACAAAGCCACAGGACAGAGCAAAAGCACATCACCAAGGAACTGTGTGCCGCATGGGGGCGGGGACCTTGCCTGCCTTCCCCAGGGCCTAGAGTGGTGCCCTGTGCCCATAAATACTCTAGTATTTGTCGGACTAATGCAGGAGGAGCGAGGGGCCACCTGTTTCACACAAGTGTGTATATGAGCCTCCCCTGAGAAATGAAACCACGTGCAGGCAGAGAACTGTCTGCAGGTCCGTCTGCAGGCACACGTGTGTACATGTATTTGTGTTCATGGCAACGGCAGAAGGCAGGACGTTTTGTCTTTCTTCTTTTTTTTCTTTTTCCTTAGCCATATTTTCTACTAGTCCTTTTTAAAAACAAACAAACAAACAAACAAACAAACAAAAACCTGTACTATAGGGCGCCTGGGTGGCTCAGTGGGTTAAATAAAGCCTCTGCCTTCAGCTCAGGTCATGATCCCAGAGTCCTGGGATCAAGCCCCGCATTGGGCTCTCTGCTCAGCAGGGAGCCTGCCTCCCCCTCTCTCTCTGCCTGCCTCTCTGCCTACTTGTTATCTATGTCTGTCAGTCAAATAAATAAATAAAATCTTAAAAAAAACCAAAAAAACAAAAAAAAACCCTACACTAGTTGGGGCGCCTGGGTGGCTCAGTCAAGCATCTGGCTTCGGCTCGGGTCATGATCCCAAGGTCCTGGGATTGAGCCCCACATCAGGCTCCTTGCTCAGCAGGAAGCCTGCTTCTCCCTCTCCCACTCCCCCTGCTTGTGTTCCCTCTCGCTCTATCTCTCTCTGTCAAATAAATAAGATCTTAAAAACAAAACAAAACAAAAAAACCTGTATTAGTTATACACACAGAAAAAAAAAAAACTCTACTTGATTGTGTCTGGAGGACAGAGTGACAGGACTGTGTGCTTTAGGGAAAGGAGAAAAAACAAGAAAACTGTGCCGGAAAATGATAAAATTTGAAGTGACATTTTCCAAAATGCCACAGTTGTCTCGCTATGGCTGAGAATTCAAGGAGCCTCCTAGGTGAGTAGCACGCTTACCTGAAGTTCGAAGCTTGCCTGATCCATGAAGAGCTTCGTGAGAACCTCGGTAAACTGATTTATCGCACGGAGGAAAACTCTGTGGGAGGAAAATACCAGATAAAGAAGGCAACTTTCTGCTCTTCCAAACATCTCCCACCTACGGGAAAAACCAAAGCAATCTAAACCTGGACTCGGCAACATGAGACCATCAGCTCCACCGAGGTCATCAGAGACCAACGCCAGAGCAGATGGCCCAGGACACTCAAGTGCAGTTTCTAGAACTGACTATAAGAGCCACTCAAGGCTGCATCACAATTTAGCCACTTGAGGGTAGAACTGGGATGACCAACCAGGTCCCCGGAGCCTCAGGGCTCCTCAACCCTATTGCAATGCTTGTCTTTCCAAGTCTAGAGATACTAATGAGAGTTTTTCTTTAACCTGTATGTAGTTGAGAACGGTTTTTCTAATCAGGTATGTGGAGTTAACAACTGTTAGAATGATTTACTTTATTTACTTCTTCCAAAAAATTCTGAAATCTTAATATTATATATGTCATACAATAACTATGATATAATGATACATTATATATAATATGATATAATTATATATTATATATTATATATACAACTCTGAAATCTTATATATATTTATATATATTTATTTATAATTTATATATATTTATAAATGTGTGTGTGTATGTATACACACACACACACACACATAAAATTCTGAAACTCTGAAAAGATATATATATTCAGCTCATTTTGCTCCCATTCACTGAGTATTTTTATGGTCCAACAACTGCAAGCACTGGCTTTTAGGTTTTGCCTTGAAAGAGAGGGTTCTTGGTCTTAAGATGTTTACAACTTGGTGAGGGTCACTTGCAACCTATAATAAATCTAACCATGACCCAACAAAGAAGACGGAAAATTCGGCGGAGGGGCTGTCAAAGGGGTACAGGACATCAAAGGAAGAGAACGCCACGTCCAGGTCAGAAAGGCTTCCTCTGGAGATGGCATTTGAGAAGGACACTGAATGGTGGCACGCTGACAGCCAGGGCCTGGTTATGCGGGAAGGCACTGCGAGTGGAAGCAGCAGCCCAAAAGGAAGCACGGAACATGTCCAGGGAGCAGGAAGAGGCCAGTTTGGTTGGAATGCAGGCTGCCCATCGAGAGAAAGAGTGGAAGGTAAGGGTGGAAAAGCAGGGTGGCCCAGGCCACAGACGCCTGTCCTGTCATGATGATGAAGGCCACACGGAGCTGCGGAAGGGCGCTGTGGGAGAGCCGGGGAGGAGGTAGACAGGAGGGCAATGAGGAGATTACACCTGAGCGAAAAGCCTGGGACAGGACAGCTGCAACAGCCCAGGGGAAGGCAAGAACGTGATCCCAGAACCAGCATCCCAGGAACAGGCGGCTCCTTACTACTCTACAGAGCATGGCGTCCCACCAAGAGATTTAATGGCACTCCCTGAAGGTCAGATAACTGGTCACCTGGTCACAAGAACCAAGTATTCAGGGTCAAAGGCCTCACACTGGGCCCAGGGTGTCTTACCTGCTCTGCGTCATATTCATGACCATCCAGTCTTTGGCATAGACATTCTTTCCAATCAGATCCTTAAACATGATGAAAGTCTCCATGAGGAAGTCCTGCAGAGAACAAAGGAGGAATATCTGGGGGAAAACTAGGTGACAAGAGGGAGCACAGCTTCAGAACAAGATGTCCCACGCCCATGATTACAGCCTATCTTTTTAACGAGAGTTTTTAGGGATCCAACAAAAACAGAAAAGTTGTCCACATTTTATAAATGATAAAACTGAGGCTGTGAAAAGGTAAAAGAGTTGCTTAAGGCCATAGAAACTGGGCAGTTGGAGAGTGGGAAAGAGAACTTGGGGTTCTGGACCCCAAATTTAGAGCCATGGTGTTTTTAGGCCTCTGGTGCCGAGTTTATCCAAACAGATCTACTGCGCTGAAACTGAATTTATCAGCAATTGTGATATTTCTTGTAACTCTGAGCCCAATTCTCCTTTATTATTATTAGAACAGAAGAAACCTGCTATAAATAAAAAGCAAAGTCATGATTCTTCCTATTCCAGGAACGTTCCCATGGGTAGCCTGGGGGAAGGGGCCTAAAGGGTCCCTCAAAAGTGTCAGCAGCAGTGGGTCACAACAACAGTAATAACTAATAACAAAAGAACACGCAGCACAGTATCTGCAGAACAGCTCTTCGACTCAAAAGGGGACTGTGAGCAAAAAGCAACTTAGAACAATTTGGATTGAAATTCAAAGCTAAAGAGTTTTGAAAGCTTTTTATTTATTAGTTAGTTAAATTTAGACATTTTCCACTTGGATTCCTGAGTTGAAAACCCAGGCCAATTCCTCTGGCACTAAATCGTACGGTTCTATCTCATGAGTTACATCATATAGCAGAAGGAATGTAGGAGTTGGGAAGCAGGCGGCCTGGGTTCTATTTCTAAGGATGTTCCTCTGAGACGGTGGGCAAGATGGCCGACTTCTGGCACTTGGGACATCACACAGCACCGGGAATGGGAACAAACCTCGCTGTGATGTCTGTGTGACCCCTGACTCTTCCTACAGTTCAATGGAGCGTCAAACTTTTCTATCCTCAATTCTCAAATGATGGCCATATTTCATGAGTTTTAAAATTTTTCATTATACATTTGAAGTATACCCACCAATTTCTCAACTACTCTATTAACTCTCTCAAGTCAGTAAGAATTTGTGGTTTGTGAAGCAAGGATTAAATTTAGAGGCTGGTTATTCATTCCTGATGCTGATTCTACATTCAACTCTCTCACTTCCCAAAGTCTTCCGAGTGATTTACTCAGAAGGCAGCAGGAGGGAGGGAAAAGACAGTCTGTAGGAAGTCAAATGGTCTAGCTATACCCCTCAGGCTTGCCCCTGGTGACCATAGCTCCCTCAGGTGGATACTAATCCTTTTTAAATTAGATAATACAGGGGTAAGAGCTTACCATTGTTCTGGAAGACAGGAGTTAAACCTGTTTGTATTTGCTTACTCAATGGAGCCAAATTGTCAAGAGCTTGAATTTAGTATAACTTTCCTTCTTCTACGCTTTCCGCTTTCCGCTTTCCGAAGGAAGTTTTCAAAGAGTCGCTAACTATTTTTGGGTTAACTTTATTTTACATGACAAGAATAAAATTACTACTGTAAATAGCTAGCTGCATAGGCATTAACCTCAGGCCAAGCACAAAGCTTGGTGATTACCAGGTGTTCACCGATTGGATACCCTTTTACATTAACCTTCGAAATAGGTGGTGTCTTATAGACAAGGAACCTGAGCTTTAGAGAAGTTAAATAGCTGGCCCAAAATTTCACAGAAGGAAGCAGAATGGCCAGAATTCAAACCCAGATCCGGATGTTCGAGCCTATGTTCTTAAACCGACTCCGCCTCCTGCCTGTGGAGGAGAAACGCTGCTACCTCAGCTTCCACCTCCCCTCTCCCCTCCTCTGTTCCTAATTCTCTTGCCCCTGGTCTCTGCAGGCACAGAGACACATCACCTCACTGCAGGTCCCCAGCACCACACTGCCTGCCAGAGCATGGCTTAAGTGCAGGTTCATGGAGGCCTTCAGATTAGGTCGCCTGGTTCACTGAGTAGGAGTAGATCGCTGGACCCACTACTATCACCATTACATAGTACTACTATGACTCCCACTACTGTTCAACAGCCCTTTCTTCCTCTGCAGTGCCTTGTGTGTTTTTCCATCATGTGGACCTCACAGAAGGGAAGGTGACTGGCAGAGAAGGAGCTGGATATCCTTGGGTGCACGGGCCACATACTACCAGTACCACATAGCTAGAAAGTAGAAAATCTAGAGCATAAAGAAGATGGGAACATGCATGGATGGTGGGAGACTGTCCGCAGCAATGACTAGTGCAACAGGACACTGGACTGCTGATCCAGCTGAGTCTGGCCCACTGCTTTACGAGGTAAGAGGATACTTTCAGGGACTTGTTAATAGCCACTAACAATTCCCTAAGGGGAAGGGTCCTGGGGAAGCAGCCAGAGGCCTAACTTTGTGTCTTGGGCAACCTTTGGTTGTATGTTGATTACTTACCATGAGAACAATTTTTTTGTTCAAAACCAAAGAGAACAGAATATTGTCAACTGAAGGTGACTGATATTTGCCCTGGCAAATACCACCTTACAGATGTTACAAGGGGCAAGTATGACTCTTCTTGTTTCCCCTTCCAGGGACAACTGAAAAGGATGACACCAACCACATCTCCGAAGCAGTACTGTGCACAGAATCCTTGCCATGACGTAACTACTCTCCCTGAAAATGAGGCACTACTCTCTTCTGAGAGCAAAAAAGATCTCCCAGATGGTTCCAAAGGAGGGTTCTCTCTAAATCCAAGAGACTCAGAGGGTGAGTGAGGGCCTCCTGGTGCATGTTTTATAGTCTTCAAATGCTATCACAGAGAGAAAGTAAGAATCAACCCTTTCCTTTTTGTCATCACTGTGGATAGCCATGCCGCTCTGGAGGTGGGCGGGAAGGGAATTCTGGAGTCAGGATGCTCACTTCTGTTTTTGTTTTGGCCGGATATAAGAGGTCTCAAAGTTACCAGGACCCAACGGAGACAACTTACAATGATGTCGTGTCTGGTTTTGAAAGTGCTGATGTAATGGCTGTAGTGGTTGTCGTCCATCTGCCGCAGGATGGCAATCATACACGCCACAAAGCTCCCCTGGAAGGACAGAAGAGACACAAAGCCAACAGTCCTGAGGCCCCCAGATGCCAAAACAAGATCTGTGCATGGGGACTTTGGCTGTTGCCACCCAATTACCAAAACAGGGACCCTGCCAACCTGGAAACATTGTGCATTCCAAAGGCTAAAAGGCACACACTTTGCTGTTTCTGCTTAAAATAACCTCCTTCCAGGTTTGAGTTAAGGAATGTGGCGGGCTTTGCTCAGCCCTTTAACAGTATGACCTGCAGAATCCTGTAGGTCAGCGGACATGGGCTCTGAGATCTCAGCTAGATCACTGGTTAGAGTACAACGACTTGGGGACGTGGAGTTTCTTGTTGAGACAGAGCTGTAGTCCATGGAGAAATGTCTGAAATAGCACAGATTTAATTTTGGAGGAATGCAAGGAGGAAAAAGATCGTAAAACTGAGCACAAAGAGCAGAGAGACAGGGAAATGAGTACCTAGAGCACTTCAATGTCATTCTTCCAATTCCAGAATCCTTCAGTCAGTTCCTGCCAGCATGTTATGCATGTGTGATTACAGACAGGTTGTGAAGAAAGGGACTGAAGGGCTTGATGATTAGCATCAAATTATATTTTTGAAGTCAGGCATTACATATTCAATGTGCTTTCCCCTCATCCAATCACATTTGAATCACACACTTGATTTTCTGGCCAAAGGGCAAATATCTAGGGGGAACGCCCTCTTTATTTATATAGTTATTTAAATGAATTGGCATTGAGAAGATGAATATACAGCTATTTGGGGAATGGAAGGAATGACTTCCTAAACACAAAAACAATGAATGAGTACTCTCTGGGGGGCGCCTGTGTGGCTCAGTCAGCTGAGCATCTGCCTTTGGCTCAGGTCATGATCTCAGGGTCCTGGGATCGAGTCCCACATCAGGCAGATGTGGGACTTCTCCCTCTCTGTCCCCCCTACCCTCTGCTCTCCCTCTTTTTCTCTCAAATAAATAAAATATTAAAATCTATGTGGCTATTCGTTTATGTGTATCTTGTATTCTTTTTTAAGTTTTAATTAATTTATTCATTTAACATGGGGCTGAAACTCATGACCCTGAGATCAAGAGTCATACACTCTCCTGACTTAGCCAGCCGGGCACCCCATCTTGCATTTATTTTTACTCTCATATTTTTGGATTTTTCTTTTATGACCCCTAAACAGCTACTGCTGTTATATAGACAGGCCACTGAATATTGTTTGTTTATTCTGAAACTGGTCAGTTTAACTAACTGTTCATTACTTTTGTTAAAATTTTGTTAGGCCTCTTGGGCTTCCTAGAAGTGGTAGTCATTTCACTAAAGATGACAATTATGAAAGTTATCTTCTCCTTTCTCAATATATATAAAACGTCCACGTGTGCGTGTGTTATCATATTAGCAGCAATTGATAGAAAAGTGCTCAACTGTGTTGAGACTAAACAACTTGATTCTCCTTTTCATGACCATCAGGTTGCCTGGTGACTGCATGTGAACTTCTCCTTCCATTAATTTGGAGAAGATGTTACATCCATCACATATATTTTGGCATCTATGGAGACAGGCATAAAGTGTTTTTCCTTTTGTTCAACTGATGTATTTTATTCACAGATCCTCTACCGAAAAAAATTCCTTTCTCTCTCTCTCTCTCTCTCTTTTTTAAGTAGGCTCCACGCCCAATGCAGGGCTTGAACTCACACCCTGACTGAGATCCAGACCTGAGTTAAGATCAAGAGTCAGATGCTTGGGGCACCTGGGTGGCTCAGTGGGTTAAGCCTCTGCCTTCCAGTCAGGTCATGATCTCAGGGTCCTGGGATCAAACCCTACATTGGGCTCTCTGCTGGGCAGGGAGCCTGCTTCCCCCCCTCTCTCTGCCTGCCTCTCTGCCCACTTGTGATCTCTGTCAAATAAATAAATAAAATCTTAAAAAAAAAAAAAAGTCAGATGCTTAACCTACTGAGCCACCCAGACGCCTCTAACAGGTCCTCTAATTCTTAACTATTCTTGTGTATGAGGATAAGCTATATTAAGACAAGTATCTATACTCAATCACTTATTTATTTGCATATTTCTCTCTGTGACTGTATCTTTGTTTCATCTGTCTTTCCCTTCTTAGATTTATCTTACTCCTGAGTTCTTCGTTGTTTCTCTCTGCCTCTCCACCACTCCCTGTTATCTCAGACATTAACTGCTCCCATCATCTTATTTTAACAGAAACACACAGGGACGCAGCTCCTTTCACATTCAAATCCCCACCCTTCTCTTCAGAAACACAGCCAACATTCTTGAGTTGGCTGAAGCTTGTAAAATAACGAACAATTTCGCTACCAGAAGAAGCTGAACAGGTATATTTAAATTAAGATATGTTAAATACTACCTGAAAACCAATCTATCATTTCCTAAATACAGTTCTCAACCTGCCCTTACGTTCTTTAAACACAGGGCAGCAATGGGTTGGCAGTAACAACGAAGGGTACATCTAGTGTCTACACCTTTAGTATGAGATCTGAATCCTTTTGTGTTTTGGATCACCTTGAGTCTTAACCCAGGGGGTGATTCTCTACATTCTTGTTTGGATCAGCTCAGTCACTAGATGTGAATCTTACAAGGCACATCTTGACATTTCTGCCCTGGGCATTGCCTCTGCCAAAAAGGCCCCTCCCTATACCTCCACACTAATCCCTCTTCCTTCTCCAAGTCTTTGTCCAAATTTTCCCTTCTCATGAAAATCATTCTTAATCATCTCATTTAAATTTGTAGTTCTGCCCTTTTCTTGTACCTTCTTCTTTTTTGTTATTGTTATTGATAGTATATAAACTTTTCTAAGGTAGTGATTTCTGTTTTGTTCACTAATCTACCTCCAGTGTCTGGAATAGTGCCTAGCTTACAGTAGTTTCTTAACAACTCTTTGTTGAATAAATGAATGGCTTTCATTGACTGTCGCCATTTGAGGTGGTTCTTTTCCTTCTGTCCTCTAAGATCAAATCATAGCTTTTAACTATCATAAGTAATGATGCAACATGATTTTCCAACAGTTACCTCTGGTTGCAAACATACTTTTTCATCTAATTTGACATTCAGGAGGCGGAGAGATAGAGGCCAGGGCAAACTGAAAAACATGCTAATCATAAGTTCTTTGAAACATTTGTGGGTTTTTTGAGCCAAAAGGACTGGACAGTACCACAGGGCACCCATCTACAAGCACAGAAGTGGAAATCCAACGTGGGGGAGATGGAACTGATCAGAATTCCTCTCTTGATGACTAGAGTGCATAGTTGGAAAATATTACCTGGTAAGCTGCCTGGGGTGGGGCTGGCTGCCATGCACGGCCTAGGCAGAAAGCTGACTGCCAGGGACCCCAACCTCAATTCACCCCCTGGTAGTCTTGCAACCTCACACAGGTTTCCTAACCTCTCTCTGCAAGTTTCCTGAGTTGAAAAATGCAGCCATAGAAAGAACTGCCTCCTGGGATCTGTGTGAGGCTTCCATGACATGTAAAGCCCTGGGGCCGCCTAGGTGGCTCAGCCCGTTAAGTGTCTGCCTTCGGTTCAGGTCATGATCCCAGGGTCCTGGGAATCCCTGCTTAGCAGGGATCCTGCTTCTCCCTCTCCCCTACTTGTGCTCCCACACGTGGTCTCTCTCTCTCTCTCTCTCTCTCTTTAGCACACACAGGCACTCTTTCTCAAATAAATAAAATCTATTTTTAAAAAAAGGAAGAAATATAAGTGCTTAAAATAATTTCTGGCAGATTAAAAAAAAAAAAAACAAAAACCAAACCCACTATTATCATCACTACAGCTAGGAGCTCTAATATATTTCCCATTATCGTTCTAACTGGGGTAGATCCAGACTGAGCATGCACACCACATACTGAGAATTAGAACGCAATTACTTGAGATAACAGAGGAAGGACTAAATGCAGCCACCACAACCCATCATCTTCTGCTCACAAAGGCTCATGTTGCTCTTAAATGAAATAGTCAACAAATATTAAAATAGCATGTGGTCGAATGGGTACCAACTTAACCTACCTGCGGGGGGCCCACACATCATCTCAGGCTCTGCTGGAACATATTACAACAGGCTTGTCTAATCTTCAGTAGGAAAAAGGTTCCTCAAGAATGGATCTGCATATTTTGTGTGTACAGGGGCCCAATAACTCTCCCCCCTCAACCTCTCCCACCACCCTGTGAGAGCACTTCCCCTCAAGAGAAAAATCAGCATTAGAATCAAGATCTGCAGGTGGTTAGAGCCAAGGTCACTCATCAGGGAGGGCTGGAAAGTTCTAGAGCCCGCTGATGGCCCCTGGCAGCTGTGATACACAGCGCACAGACACCGACGGTGAACTGGGATGAGGGGGGCCTGTGGGAATGGTCTAGAGGACTCCCAATGGGCAGGTGGGACACTGAGAAGCTGTGGTGGCCGCAGGGTCCCCTGACGCAATACTCACAATATGGGGAGACTGTCGGCTCATCCCAATCACGGTCCGGTTGATCCTTCTCAGCAGCCGCTCCATTATCAGCTGGATGTGCATCGCAGTGGGGCCCTATGGGGGAAACATGGGAACTGACCCACTTCTTTTGACTCAGCTTCACTTTTCCTCAAAACACCTTGGACAGGTGAATTTTCTCCTTAAGCCTCATTCAGGCTCTTCCCTGAAAAGCAATCTCTTGTCCAAAAAGGGGAAAAGAAGTTCACAGATGAACACATGCTGTTACTTAGGAATGGGTTAAAATGATTAGGGTTAGCATATAAAAACAGAGCGTGGGCATGTCGGGGAGAACGCCTCCCTAGTAACCCAGACCATCCGTGTTCACTGCAAGTTCACTGTGGCCACCAATTCAACGGAGTTCCGGGAGGACCCCCCTGGCATGAGAAGTCAGTCCTGACGCTGAGCACATGCAGTGGCCCAGGAGAAACAGGCATGTGCACGGGAAGGAAAAGGCAAAAATTCAACGTTCTTGCCACCTTCTGTGTAGGAGGAAAAAAAAAAAAAACAAAAAAACAAACAAGAAAGTCAAGTCAAGGAGATTGCTATTGATTGAATGTTTGTGTTCAAAGTCATAGGCTGGGGGCACCCGACTGGCTCAGTCAGCTGATTTAACTCTTGATCTTGGGGTTCTGAGTTTAAGCCCCGCACGGGGCACAGAGATTAATTTTTGAAAACCCACAAAAGTCATATGCTGGTCCTTTAACTTTTTTTTTTTTTTAAGATTTTATTTGACAGATAGAAGTCAAAATGTGGTAGAAGGGGGGGGGGGGGGGGGGGGGGAGAGGGAGAGAGAGAGAGAGAGAGAGAGAGAGAGAGAGAGATAGAGGAGGAAGCAGGCTCCCTGCCTAGCAGAGAGCCTGATGCAGGACTCGATCCCAGGACCCTGAGATCATGACCTGAGCTGAAGGCAGAGGCTTAACCCACTGAGCCACCCAGGCAGCCCTGGTCCTTTAACTTCTTGTGTGATGGTATTTAGAGATGGATTTCGGGGAGCCAATTAGGTCATGAAGGCGGGGCCCTGGTCTTATAGGGTTAGCGTCCTTATAATATGAGGAGAGACACCAGAGAGCTGGCTTTTTCCTTCTCCACACACAGACTGAGGAAAAGCCATGTGAGGACAGAGAGCCAGCAACCATCTTCAGGACAGGAGGGGAGCCCTCCCCAGGAACCCGACCACACGGGCACCCTGACTTTGGACTTGCAGCTGCCAGAACCGTGGGAAATAAATACCTCTTGTTTAAACTGCCCAGTCTGGGGTGTTTTGTTTTGGCAGCCTGAGGAGACTAACACAGGATTTAATATTTTGACTCTGTCATGTGTCACTCTGAGCAATTATTTAACTTTGTTGAGGCTCCATTTCCATAGCTGGAAAAAAAGGTTCCCTTACAGGAATTAGCTGGGCTGGTGTACACAATAAATAGTGCCTCACAAATACGTATTCTTCTTTTTTTTAAAGATTTTATTGATTTGAGAGAAAGAGAGAGAGAGAGCACAGAGGGAGATGGAGAGGCAGAAGCAGGCTCCCCGCCAAGCAGGGAGCCTGAAGTGGGGCTCGATCCTGGGACCCCGGGATCATGACCTGAGCTGAAGGCAGAGCCTTAACTGACTGAGCCACCCAGGCACCCCACAAATACATTTTCTTTATTTCTCCTTCTCTCCTGCTTGTGATTTGATGTTATATTCATTTGGCCCCAAGCTAGCAATAGTCAACCTTGTCTTTCGAAGCTTTTATCCATTCTGGCTTCATGATAGATATTTTGAAACTCCAGGGTAATGTTTCAAATAACTAAATCACTACTATATATAGTTTCATTATAATATCAAGTATTGTTAGCTTCCCTGTCATGCCTCCCTTCTTTCCTTCTTCATTTTTATTATACATTCACTTGCTTTCCATTTCTTTGAGGGAACGTGATCCATAGACCTTGCCTCTCTGTTGAAGCATTTTACCCTCATTCCGTAGTGAGACCACACCCCAAACCCGGCTAGGTGAGTGAGTCCCGCCGGCTGGGGTGGAGGGAGGAAACAGAATCAGATGCTCTCAGAGCCCTTCAAAGATTCACCTCAGCCGGAGAGCTGGGGCTTGAAGGACAATGAGCAGAACACAGGATCCTCCTAGAAGGGCAGCTCCATGATGGCAGGTGCTTCCCTCTCTTGTTCAGTGCTGCACTCAGACCTATCTCAGCGCCCGGAGCGTGGGCGCTGTTCAAGATGTGTCTGTGAACTGAACCACAGCTCAGGATACCGAACGAGAAGGACCTTAAGCCGGATATAAGGAGAGCACAAACGGAAGTGGCAGAGTGGGGGACTCCAGGCAGGCCTGGAACAGGAGCGACCTTAGGGAGGGACCTACGGCAGCTGGACTTTGAAGAATGTGGGCAGTGTGGAGACACAGCTTTGGGAAAAGAGGAATCCTGGACTATTGAAAAAAGGCATAGGAATCCATGTCAGTAATCAGAGCCTGGAATTTTAACTGAGGAAATGGGGGGATAGGGGAAGACATACAGGGTTGGTTTATACATTTAAGAATGCTTATGGTGGGGGATAAAGCCGTATCATTATTACCATCACCGAAAATTTATCCAATTTACTAATTTTACAGAAGCTCCAAGATCAATAATCTTGAATGCTTCTGCTCATTACAGGGAACGTTATTAGGAAGACAAAAAAAAAAGCTTCCTCAAGCCAATTAAATCTTTCAGCATAAAATGTAAGTACATTCAAGTCATTTCCAAAGGGTCCTTCTGCATGTATGAAGGCGGGCAAAGATATTATATTAAAATTTTTATATTAAATATAAATCCTTAAATTTAATTAATTTAATTTTATATTTATAATAGATTTTTAATATAAATATAAATCTATTAAAGTAAATCTATTTATATTATATAATATATAAATATATTTACATTAAATATGTTATGCTAAATTTATATTAAACAGATTTAAATATATAAATTTATATAAATGTATAATCATATACTTTATATACAATTTATACAAATTGTATATAAATTATGTAAATTTATATATTTTACTTATATGTAAATATATATTTAATAACATACAATTATATATTTATAAATATAATAAACTAATGTAATTTTACATTAAATTTATAAAAATATAAATATATTTATAACTTAAATATTATTTGTTATACTATTTAAATTTTATTATTTTAATGTCATATATAGCAATATATATTATTTAAATATAAATATAAATTGAATATAACAAATTTATATTAAAAATTTATATGAAAATACATTATATTAAAAACAAAACATGGGGCACCTGGGTGGCTTGGTCGGGTAAGTGACTGCTTTTCCCTTGCCCTCTGTCCCTACACCCCACTCGTGCTCTCTCTCTCAGATAAATAAAGTCTTTAAAAAACAAAACAAGAGAGTTCCGGAGGACGGGAATGAGAATGGCGGCCTCCCAGTCTCCGGCCCGGAGGAGCTGAGAGCTCGGGGCCCCACTCCTCAGTGCGCCCTCAGAGAAAAGCGCCCAATTACTCCCATCTCCCTGGCCTCCGGCCGCGCTCCGAGCTCACTGAGCCTGCGACGGTTCAAGGTCTGGAGTTAAGACTGCCCCACAATGCCAAGGTTCACTGTAACTATGCCAGTTTCCTGAAGGACCAGTGTCAGAACCAGAAAGCGATCCACCACTGCAGAACCGCCCTCAGGATTTTCATGCTGTAAACTAGACAAGAGAAGATAGAATCTCGTGGCATAAGGAGAGGGAAAGAGACAAATGGTGGATGCAGATGAAGAACCATCTTAGGGCTCGGATTTATTTTTATGTGCATAAATTTTGTGTGTCTATCCTTCTTCATAATGCTCACTTTACTGATGCCCTGATCCAGAGACATTTATGTAACTCCCCTGTGTACAAACCAAAGAATTCCCACCATCTCGTGCAAATAGAAGGCCCTATATGGACAGATGGTCAGCAATCCCAGCAGGCCAGAAACTCAGCAACTTATGAGAACTTTCTACCAAAAGAACTTGTAACTAACTGTTTAAGCCATAAAAGGTTGTAATTGTTCAATAATGCTAGCTTTGTATATTTCTAAACCTTGTATTACTTAGGTTGTATTTATACTACTGTGTGTCAGATCTACCTTCTGCATACCTCCAACAACAAAATTTTATAAGACTTTAAATTGCCTTTTTGTCTTTTCTTTCTTTTTTTTCTTTTTCTTTTCTTTTTTTACAAAATAAAAGTTGGCCATAATGAAATGATTGAGACAGCCATACCCATTCAAAAGGGAAAGTAAAGGAAGAATTCAGTGTTTAAAAAAAAAAAAACAAGGTGCGTCAGAGTGGAAGAGACCCAAGAGGCCATCCAGAACAATCCCTCCATGGTATGTAAGGGGAACTCAGGCATCTACAGATTTGCCTAAGGATAAAGAGCTACACATGCTAATACTGGCACCAGAAAACGGCCCAATTCCCATGTTTTAGATTAACCCTGGATCATATACACACAATGGAGCCTTGACTAAACCGAAGACCCTGGTACACTGTTGTCAACTCAAGCTTGGAGCTTCATTTTAGTACTTTGATTACGGAGTCATAAGAGTTACTTTTTAAAAATATTCTTATCATCATTAGATGATTGGTTACATTTATTTATCTGTTGTAAAATCCTTGGTTAGGAATCAAATCCCCAGTCATAAAGTTCCTTGGGGAAACTTATTATATTTTATTTGGTTTCTAGAAACACACTTAAGAAAAAAAAAGAAGAAGGGGAACATGACCTATAATTAATAAATACCCAATAAATAACACAAATTCTAAGGTGGGCTGCAGGGGCTCAGGGAAAGGGTGGGGGTAGGTGGAAAAGGCATTGGCGTTCTCCAGTACCTCCGCAGCTGAGGCGTGAATTGGCAGAAATGCAGACGTGCCTGTGTGAAGAGGAGGCAGGCTGTGGCCAAACTGGGGTGGGCCTTGAAAGGTGAGCTAAGAATTTAGCTATGGGAAAAGGGACAGAGTGTTCTTCAACTCCTTTAGCAGAACTGAGCCTAAACATACTGGTAAAAGAATGGCTTAGGCAAAGCCAAGAGTGTCTTCCTTGCTCTGTGGGAACACTGGTGCCAGGCAGACATTGTGGGGGGGGCAGTAGGTATGGTTTGTGCACAAATGAACACATTCTGCCAACTTTTCCAGCCTCCTGAGAGTGGCCCTGCCTAGGCTATGGGCTGTGTTATCTCTAGAACAAGGTAAATCCAGGCAGATGAAGCCCCAGGGTTTTGGAGAGGATGGGAGGTAAGGGAGAAGATGCGAGATGAGAAAACACATCATTTCCACCAGGCTCCAAAAGGAAGGATTGGTGTCAGAGAGAGTATAAAAATGAAAGCATCTCAGAAGCTCAGGTACATCTACAACAGTCCTCTCAGTACCAGTGGTAAAAGAGGGCCAAGGTTTCTGCATAAAAAATCTAAACAGGCCTCTGATTCTTCAAAGCCCCCTCAGGGATCTCCACCGTGGATGAGCCGGGAAAAGCAGCCCACCCCAAGTGCCAGCAGCCCGCGGACCTCTCCTGGACCTAGATTTGCAGAGCAGGCTCTGGCAAGCAGAAGCCTCTCTGATCACCTCAAAACCAGCCCCAGGACCCAGGTTCTAAACCGCTGGGGCCAAGCCCTGAGACAAGGAAGGCTCTGAAGTCATTCTTGCCCTAGGCAGAGGGACCCATGTGCACTGTGGTCTGCATGGGGTGACAATTCAACTCACCACATCCTTCCTGTCCAGCACTTCCAGGATGTTGCTCAGAAGCTGCGAGCTGGCTTCATGGTCGGGCTTGCTGGAGTTGTCATCTAACTGGCCGCTGAGCTGGTCTATCAGCAGCGGCAGCAGCACATCTCTGCACTCTGGGGGAGAAAGTGCACCCAGCTCACCAGCTGCAGCACCCACCACCCCCACCGGCCCCCAGGTGCCCCGCTTCTGCCTACAACTCTCCCTCTGCCCGATACCACAGGTGACCTCTGAGCTCCACCCAGTGGGAGCACAGCAGCCTAGACATGGAACTTCAGCCCTGTAACTTGATTTTAAAAGCTCAGAAAATTACACCCATCACAGGCACATAAACAAAAAGGTTTCAAGTATTCAACAATGTCTTTAGCTAAAAAAAAAAAAAAAAAAAAAAAAGCCAACTTGACAGCCAGAGGCAAAGTCCTACAAAAGGAATAAATTAAGCCAGTCACACTTGTAAAAAATGTTTGAAAGCTTCCACCGAATGGAGAGAATGGACTCTAAAATTTGTATGAATACCAAGTGAGCCTTCCTAGGACATTGTGATGTGTTTCAAGGACATCCTGATGTTTTGGCAGGCATATGAGCTTCACAAAATAAGGGCTTATCTTTCTATGATGTCTTCCTTCTGGGATCCTCGATACTAGAAGACATTATTATGATGAGGCCAGATGTTCTGGACGCTAACGGAAATGACTGTTAACAGTGAGAATACTTCCTCTAATTGGAACACACAGTGCCTGCTAGCTTTTGTGCTCAAACAGCCCATTTTTATCATCTTCCGTATCCTTTCTGCATGCTTAGAGGCAGATATATCATAGTGTATGAAGATGTCTAGTAATATTAGGTTTTCTACTTAAGAGCATTCACTAGCTTTGTACACACCTCCAACAGTGTCCTTATAACAGTTGGAATTTCTAAGCAAAAATTCACAGGGTCAGAAAATTTCAGAGCCAAAAGAGGCTATTGATGTGATCCAGTTCAAATCCTCCCTTCCGTGGAAATGGAGGCTAAGACTTATAGAAGGTTCCTGGTGTGTCCAAAGTTATATAACCAGCCCAGAGCAAGGCCAGGAGGCCTGGCACCAACAACCCGCTCACTTTTCCCTATTTCTGAGGAGTCTTGCTGGTGCCTGGTGACCTTCCAGGCAATACACACAACATGGGGTCACCCTCTGGAAGCCCCTCACCCTCTGGTAGCCCCAAAACAACTTCCCAGAGCAGCCCCTCTCTGGCAAGTTTTGGGTTTATTGGGGAAAGACCAAATATCAGACCGCTTTCCCATATCAGCTTGGGGACAAGAGCACAGTGATTTAGACGTGGTGGCTGTATGCTTGCTCCTAGTCACAAAATGAAGAGCATTTCATCCATGTTAGAGTTTTCTCTCCTCCACGCCCTCTGGCTCCCCGACAAAGCCCCGAGGCCCCTCTAAAACCTGTGACTTAGAGCGTTTGCCAATTTCTGTGGTGTAAATACAACCACTGTGGCCCATTTTCAGTGCTTCATGTGACATGACCGAGCATGGAAGTTAAGAAGAGATACACACATCTGCTCTCCTGAGCTGGGGAGGGGGGGCAGGGAGGAGGGGAGGATAGCACAGCCCTGTACACCTGCTCCCTGGCTTTTCAGGTTATGCAACAAATACAGGTCGAAGAAGACACATTTGTTGAAAAGAACCATCTTTCCTGTTTGCCTGCTGGGGTATGCCATTTGGAGGACAAAGTTCTCTAATTACTGAAAGACTGGATTGTCCTCATTGAAAAAAAAAAAAAAAAGTCTCGGATCCTCTTGGAAATATTAAACTGACTCTGTCTGCTCCTTAAAACCAGTTTCTCGGGAGATCCCGGAGTCCCAACCAGCTACTGGCAAGGTCATTATTGACATTTTTTAAAAAAGCAAGCAAGTGCTAGCTGGAGAAGCCGCCAAGACTGGAATTTCGGCAAGCGGTAGTTTTTGTTGAGGACGTACCCGACTGCCGGAAAAGACTGCTCTCCACTATCTTGGTCATGCAGTTCAGTTTTTGGCGAACTAACTGGTTGTCAGGGATGCTCTGGATGAACTTGCAGAAGAGCACGCTGCAAGAGAGATACCAGAGGTTAGTTATTTTCCTTCTGTCCCACTGAAGGGACCATTACACAGCTCCTGTCGACTGCGAGATCCCGGCGTGGAGCGTTTTCCCTGGAAATCTCCCCCAGGCGGCCTGAGCGTCTGCCCCTCGGAGGTGAAGACTGTGCTCCACATGTGCTGTAGCTCTCAGCCTCAGAGCTGCCTCTGTTTGAACTTGCAAAGCACAGTCACGTCCATCCCGGCTGTGCAGACCTGCCTGAACGCTCCTCCCCTGCAGGACCCTTTCGCAGCTAATTCCACCCGCTGTCGCTCACCGCCTCTTTGTATGGCCCGGGGGCTTGGGTAGAGGGCTGGAAGCAGATCATTATGTATGTTCTTCTAGTTAATTTCCCATCTGCACATCAATTCTCCAGAGAAAAGGGCAAACCTCACTCAGGGGCAGGCTTTGTGTCTCCTTTTATATTTTCCGCAGAAACGGAGCCCCAGAAGGGGTTCCGCTAATATGGGTTGGAAGACTAACAGAATGTGCAGCAGCCCAGGCCCCAGGCAGGGGTGGCTTCTTTGTAAAAGTCCACGAACTCGCTTTGCTGTTTACCTGAGCTCCACGGGATCAAACACAAGTTTGACGTCGTTAATGATGCTGGGAAGGTACTTCAGGGCTGCCCCCTGTCAGAAAAATACAGAAAGGCAAATTCAGTTGCCAGGCAGGACGAACACAGAACACAGAATTCCTTAATCCCAGGAAGAAAAGGCTTGCATCCACGTAGGGAACTGGACACAGACACTCTCGCACTAGAGAGGAGAGCTCAGTGTTGCTAAAGGTGATGCCTAGAATGTTTTCCTGAAAGGTCAGATGGCACGGCTTTTCTTTTTCTTCATTACCAACAGGTACTGTTTGTTTGGAATTCATCTTTCTATCTAAGGAGGTCGTTAAGATCTTGACATCTTCCTCACAAGGTGGCCATCAAGAACAAAGAATAAATAATGAAGTACAGATCTGAATCCTCAGAGATGGCATATTTTCCATGAAAAAATTGGTAATGATGAACATGAGGGCGACTTTGGGCTTCTGGGAAGAATGGGGGAACTTAGGATAAAAACCCGTTGCCTGTGACACTGGGATCAACTGGCTGAATTCACAGACATCACAGGATGTCTAAAAGGATAGTTTGTCTGGGGCAAATTGCCATTTGAGAATACAAAAGGACATAAAAGTTAAAACACGGGTTTCTCCCTTTGCTTTCAGTAAGTCATACTAAAATTCACAGGCCTTCCACGAATATGATTCACTTTGCTTCTCTCCCACCGCGTCCAGTTCTATGTTATCACAGAACACGCTCAGAGACAGCAAGGAAAGGGACGCCCGCGCTGATACCCTGCTGACCTTTATCTTGACGGCTTCCTCCAAGGGCCTGTCCATGAGCATATTGAAAGCGAGAAATAGCTGGCGGATTGAATTATTAAATTCATCTCCGTCTTCACTTTGGCCGTAAAATCTTAACAGGAGAAAGAGAAACAGTGGTCAGGTTTTCCACCTTTAAAAAGAAATTTCTGAGAAGATCCATCACCTGAGCAATGCTGGAGGCCTGTGCCTCCCTGGTCACCACTTGAGACTGCGTGAAGGGAAGGTCAAAGGGTGCACCAAGGAGACGCCCAGTAGTAGGCTAAGAAGATATTACCACCTGGACAAGAGCACGTAGGAACCCGTGCTACAGTCCCACCACAGAGCTCTCCACTTGGTCTGCTATGGTCAGCCAGTTGGGAAGAACTCCCTGGAAGCTGAATGAGGCTGTCCCTCCTAATGGTGTACGGGCATTTCCGGCAAAGGGGGAGCAGCAGGAAGCTGCTCTGCCTGAAGGATCAGATGTGAGCCCCGTGCACATGCCCAGCCTCCTCAGCTCATTAGCAGAACACCTGATACGCAGGGGACTCCCCCAGCGCACATTACCAACCCACACTCTTGCCGCAGCCTAGCCTCCAGTGTCACTCCTGCCCTCCTCCCCCATTCTCCTCTTCTCTTCTTACTGGACCCACAATGTTCTGAACCCAACACGGTCTACAAGTTCCGGAATGCCATTCTCTCCACTGAAGTGGCCAGCTGGGTGCTGACCTGCTCTACGACAGGGCCTCGTAGCATAGGAGAACACCTCCCCTTCGCTGATTCCTGCTGGTTTTGATTAAGGTATTCTTGTTTGTCTTCGGGATCTGTCCAGCCGCTGAAAGTTGGTTCTTTCTCATAAGTAGAAATCAGAGGTCTTGGGCACATTTCTCAGAAACACGGAAGTCCCAAATTGTAGTCCAAGTGCATTTACACTGGATGGCAATGGTACCACCAACTGGTCAAGAGTAGGGATCTTCCGGCATCAGGATTTTTACTTGGGTAAAATCCAAACTCCTTAGGATGACCTGCCAGGTCCTACTTCTCCTGTCACTCTGCTGCTGCTCCCCACTCCCTCACTGTCATTCCCCATGCTCCCAAAGCACTGGCTTCTCCTAATTCCTCACACAGGCTCTACAGAGCCTCCCACACACCCTCACTCCTCCTCCCTAACACCAAAAAATTAAAAGGCAAACAATTAACATTAAAAAGCTTGCAATGTACAATATAGATCAAGATTTTAATTAGCTTTATTTTTTTAAAAAAATATTTTATTTATTGGGTGCCTGGGTGGCTCAGTGGGTTAGGCCTCTGCCTTCGGCTCAGGTCATGATCTCAGGGTTCTGGGATCAAGCCCCACATCGGGCTCTCTGCTCAGCCGGGAGCCTGCTTCCCCCCACCCCCTGCCTACTTGTGATCTCTGTCTGTCAAATAAATGAATAAAAAAAAAACGTTAAAGATTTTATTTATTTATTTGAGAGATTGAGAATGAGAGAGAGAGAGAGAGAGAGCATGAGAAGGGGGAGGGTCAGAGGGAGTAGCAGACTCCCTGCCGAGCAGGGACAGAGAGCATGCTAAAATGTTACTAGGAGTAAAACCATAGGTAAGAGGATTTCAAGTCTAGACCTGAGCATTTGTATTGGTTTTAACTTGGTATGTTTCAACAATCATAAACAAAATTATGATTGTTGAAACATACCAAGTTTAAACCAATACAAATGCTCAGGTCTAGACTTGAAATCCTCTTACCTATGGTTTTAGCATGCTCTCTGTCCTGTTTCCAAACCTGCCTTAGCAATATATTTTCAGTTTGGAAATCCAACTCTTATTGAAAGGTAGAGATGACACTGGGGTTGTGAGCATTCCCAGGACAGTTACGTCCTCATTCTTTGTCTCTGCTATTTCTTTTTAAAGATTTATTTAGTTTAGAGAGAGAGCAAGCAAGCAAGGTGGGGTGCGGGGAGCAGAAGGAGAGGGAGACATAGAATCTCAAGCAGGCTCCACATTCATCACAGAGCCCAGTGAGGGCTGATCTCATGACCCTGAGATCACAACCTGAGCCGAAACCAAGAGTCAGACGCTTAATTAACCCAAGTGCCCCATCTCTATTTTTGATGGAGCTGTTATTTTAGAAGTTTAAGCTGGGAATTACCATATTTGGCTTAGTTTCATCAAGTAGCTGAGCATGACGTCAGCAAAGAAACACACACTTGAGGGAACATCTCCCCAATGACAATGGCCACCATTCTCCATCCACCACCAAGAGCTCACGATCCTAGAATTGTACACCTGACATCATCATGAAGTCCCTTGCTGCACTAAATGCAGTCTTGCCATAGGAACCTTGACTCCTAGAGCTGTCATCACCAAATAAGGCTTTCATCAAGCTGCATATAGTAGCCACATACGTCCCTAATCCTGTCATTACTGCCCTAGAAATTCTGCTGCCTTGAAAGGACTCTGGACCAGACTTCTCCAGGGGTTTCAGAATCTACCACCATGTTCAGCCTTGGAGTTCTGAAATTTGGCAATTCCGTGATCCAACTGTGATCAGAGCGCTGAACACAGAGCATGCAGATTAAGGGAAAATCCGTGAAAGAGAATAAACAGCATAAACGTCTTACTGCAGTTACCATTACCTCAAGTAGAGTACTCTGGATTGGATGATGAATCGAAACAAGTACTTTAGGGCTTTCAAAGCAGCAAAAAGCAATTCTGTCTTGCTGGAGTCATCTGCATTCGCCACATAAAAGTTCAGTACCTTGGAGAGTTTCCTTAAAAGGGTGAGAAAGAAAAATGTCAGTGGGGCAAAATGGTACTCTGAGGTTTGAGGTATGTTATATGAGAAGAGGACTTGGCATACCGGGGAAGCAGAAATAACAACTATAATGATCTCTTCTAGAATATGCCCTGAGTAGAGAAACTGACTCCTTTGCAGTTTGGTTTCCTCACCGCAGTCTAAGTTTGGAGCATCCCTAAAACTTAGAAATAATGGGTGGTTTCTTTCCTTAGCAGGATTTTTAAAAAGAATCAAAAATGAAAGTTGAAAGGATTCAAACCATGAAGACATTTTAATCTCCAGTATGTTATACACACATTCTCAGACGTTCCTGGAAGGAAGGGACTATATGCCTAACGTAGTCACCTTAAAAGAGGTCTAATTCCTTTCACTCTGCCTGAACTCTTTGGGAGTTACAGAACGGTGAGGATGAGAAGAGAAGCTCCATCTGACTCTGGCTCAATGTGATGACAACCATGGTTTCTGGGTATCCCAACAGATAACACTGGGCTGGGATGTCAGATCGCTGTGTCTTTCCAGAGTCTAGGCATTTTCTTAATTGTCTGCTGACTTACACTTTGAGGGACACTCATAGCTTGACCTTTCTTTCTGTGAATCTCTGAGTTTTCCTAGTATTAAGAAAAATCCACAGCACACATGTCAAACTGATACAGTCTTGTAAAGAAACCCAGATTGCTACTTCCTGGAGTGCTGCACTCGACTCTGTGGAATGAAGATCCAGGGAAGTGATCCACTTGGATCCACAATGAAGATCCACATGCAGCTACCACCTGCTTGGGAAGTGAGGCTACTGCATGCAGAGAAACCTGTCATGAGTGTATCTGCTGCTTCTCCCAGCCCAGCGGGCATCACGTCCACCGTGTTTGTGGGTGATTACGCTACGTTACACCTCTTTTCTGTCACTTACACTTGTAACACTGCTGGACCTCTCTTGCAAATCAAACCAAGAACTTCCTTGTTTAGTTCAGAAAGAAGATACGGGACTCTAGGACCTGACCTGAAAAGTCAGGTCAGCAGCCAACATGATAGATTAGCAACAGCGGCTGGCATTGACCCGGCATAAACCGTTGTCAGAAAGATCTCTGCCGACTCTTAATCTCACAAAACAAACTAAGAGTTGCCCAGGGGCGGGGGGGGGGGGGG